GCAAATAAAGGGTCAGAGTGATTACTTTGTTGAAAAGAAAACTTATGGAATGTAAAATTCAAAACCATAAGATTAAAATCATGCTCTTTCAAAAAAAAAAAACGGTTTAAAAATAGATAAAATGATATAAAAAGAAGCAACGTTCATATGTAGAAAAGCAAACTTTTTTGAATGCATAACGACTTGGGGTTATTTTTCTCCTGAAAAAAAAAATGATAAAATTTCAAAACTAAGTGTAAAAGGGATTCCACTTTCTTGCGACAGAAAGTATTCTACTTTTAAGAAAGAAACAAAAAACAGTTTAGTAATAACTTAAAAATGATAACATTCAAAAGAATTATGTGAAATTAAATTGTTAATCGGTGATTGTTTAATTTCTGACTGTCCCCGATTTGAATATAATAGTACTTTCACATTGTGTTTAAAACTCCAAAAGAACGTTGGTAAAATCTATAACGACAACATTTGTAACAAAATGCGAGTCGTTAAAAAAGTCTACGCTTGAGGGGAAACTGAAAATATACTCTTACTCGATCATTACATCATTCAACCGAAATTACAATTTTTTTATCAGCAAAAAATAAAACACACAAAATGAATTACAGAGGTAAAAAAGGTAAGTAGCTTTACGAATTACAATCCAAACTCCAAAGTAAAAATAAGAAAAACTATTCCCCTGAATATTCTTTTTTTTTCAGAGAAATATGAAACACTCTAAAGAAACAAGCGGGTTCTCTAACAATTCCTCAGTGGTATAACCGTAATTCTTCTGATATTGTTGCTGATCCGACCCGTTTTTATTCGGATCTAGCCTAACCCGACCCGGAGACTGAGTGTTCTTCCTAGTCCTTGCTCCAACCACCCGACTCTGATTCGAATCCATCACGGATCTGTTCGTCGCCGGCGATCTCGACCTTCTTCCGGATCTCTCACCCGGGTCTCTCGTACCCGACCCGAATCTCGCTCCATTACTAGCTCCAGTGTTTCTCTTACGAGGAGATTGATCGGTTTTTCGGGTCGGGTAATTATTACCCGTGACCCGAGTCCGAGATTTAGCCGGAGATCTCTGAGATTTCCTCTGTTTCACTTCTTCTTCGTCGTAACTATTCATCAAGACCGTCGAAGACACACTCTCACTCAAGCTCAAGCTACAAATCTCCGAAACCTCCGATCCTTCTTCCGGGTCAATCGAATCGGGTCGGATCATACCCGAATCATGAGAAAGTTTGAGTTTTTCCTCCTCCGTTTCCCGGATCTTCGTCTTCACCGGACTGTGGACATTAGAGGAAGTAGTGAGAAAAGTTGTCTCCGATAAGACTTCTTTGACGACTGTTTCTTCTTCGACATTGGCTGTGCTCTTATCGGAAACTTTCTCGTTGTCGCGATCGGCGGTGCCGGAGCTGACGCAGCAACCCATGTGAGT